CACACATATACACACACACACACTTTTATATATAGCGCAAGAGATAAACAAACGCTAGCGTTTTTCAACTCATTAAAGGCGCCCATCATTTCATTCTCAAGATAATTTATCTTCAACAAGAATTCTTTATGAATTTCAAGAAACATGATTCTTTTTAAGTAATTCGAAAAAAAGTAGAACAGAAAAATAATTTCAAGAAATCTACTTATTTCAATAGATAAGTCAATCGAAAATCAGACTGAAGATTATTTGAAAAGAAAAAAAAACAAGAACAAATACAAGATCTTCAGGATCCTGTTGACGTATAGTACAATGTTATAATTAATTCTATATTATAAAGGACCCTTCAAATTATCAGTTCTTTTTGATGAGTTCTTTTTCTAGCACAACCTCAAAGGAGAAATTAGTAATCCTGTGGAACACCATTTTGCATTCACGAGTGTGAAGTAGTCATTTCCGACGTATTTTTGCCTGCTGAACACGAATCCGTTGGCTATCGTTCGATCGTCGAGGAGAGAGCACCGGTTAATAAACTGATTTACTAAAAGTATTGAGTGTCGACTTGTTTTCGGTAAGACTCTGCTCGAATGCTCGTATCCCTTTCCAAGTAAATCCTGTTTATCCTGACATTATCGATACTTCCTAGGAGTTATTCACCAGCCTATTTCCCTCCTACGGAAATATTTCTCGCCCTTCCCCAGGCTTGAGCGGTTCCTTCAAATTTTTCCATTCTCCGTCTTACAGCTTGTTATAAATTCGTTGGCATGAAATGTTAACTATCATGTCACAATTTTGAGAGTTTTCAAGATATTGTAACTGCACTGATAGAGAAATATATCGTAATGAACCAAAATGCATTTTAAAGCTGAAAGTTGATGCTTTCATGTGGCATTAACAAAGTTAAGCAAAAAAAAAATTAACTGCCGATGTTGCAACTTTTTGAAAATCCTCCGAATCATCATTTTCAGTCTCTTTGATGTCATTCTTTTCAAAATTGTGACGTAATAGCCAACTTTTGCCAACAGATTCGTGTTAAACAGGCAAAAATATGTCGAAAATGACTATTCACATTCATGATGCAAAAACAATCAAATTTTGTTTCAGTGTAATTGAAGGAGAGATTAATAAATCAGCCTTTAATGAGTCAACTTTACTCAAAATGTAATACGCTCTTCGTATTCGTTGTAAGATGATTAGATCGCGATTAATCGAGACCAACGTCATCGTGAGGAGATGGATTCGGGGGATTGAAACCTGCCCCGGCACCCGGAAAACCGGGCATACCGCCCGGGAAATTCATCCCGCCGGGCATGCCGCCAGCACCGCCAAATTTCGAAGCCATCTTATTGATGAGGGCCATTATCTTGGGATTGTTCTGATATTTGAGGATATTCATCGGATGCGCGGAAATATCCTTGAAGGCGTCGGCCACTTCTGGATCCTGCACATCCATGAGAATAATCAAGAATAGATTCATAAAAGATTTATAAAAATTAATTTAATTCTTGTCGATTTTAATAATCTTAACCAAATCATGTGATCTATTAAGTTTCTTTAGTCCATTTAAAAGTAGAAGAAAAAAAGAAAATATATGCTCAAACGTAAAATATTTATTCTTGATCAGTTTTAAACAAAATTAAAATTGATCATTTAAAGTTGTTAGAAATTATATATACAGGGTGGACCATTTTAATCCATCCAGTCGAATATCTCGAAAATCAAGCCCGGGAGAGAAAAATTTTTCAGATAAAAGTTTTCGGACTTCGAGGGGGACATAAGATGATAACATTGGTTTGACCTTGAGTGGCGTGGTCAAGGTCAGGACAAGGTCACTTTGAATTTTTTAAATAGAACCCCCAATTTTTCATTACATGTTCTTACAGCACGCCTCGAGAACTTTCCAAAACACATAAATAAAATATTTTTTTATGAAATAAATCTTGAGTTACGAAGCTTGAAAGTTGGAGTACTGTCGGCATTAGCATCATCTAAGGTGTCCAAACACTAGCTAAAGATGGCCAAGATCATTGGCCTTTATCAATGTCATGATCCTGAACAACATTCAAAAGGTTTTAGCTAGTGTTTGGACACCTTGGATGATCCTAATGCCGACAGTACTCCAACTTTCAAGAGATCGGAAGAGCACACGTCTGAACTCC